TGGAAGTAGATGGGGAAGGGATGAGGACGCAAGAGGGGTTGTGTGTGAGTGGATGGAGGTGCCAGGCAAGTGCTTAAGCTGTGAAAAATGGAGGTGGAAGGAGCTGTGAACAGCTGTCGTGTGCCTCCGGCGCCGCACAGGGTCCGGTTTCCCTGGGCCACCAAAGGCTTGGCTCCCRTCCCTCCTGCTGCCAGCTCTTTGCCAGTCCGCTCTCAGATCCCAACGAAATCTCCCTCTAAAAACACTCAGGAGCTTCCATGCACTCACCACAGCCCAACAGCCAGTGAACAACCCATGAGAGAGAGCTACTGCTATGCTGGCACTACAAAACAGATTTGTTGGGGAAGCATCCAGGGAAAACAATGTTACTGAGCTGTACTCACCACCTCCTGTCTGAGTGATGAGGGAGACAAAGGCTCTTGGACAAGGTGCCACCAGCAGATGGGCTGWGGTGGAGAGGGAAAACAGATCTTAGTCCCGAAAGGGAAGTGGTGACAGACAGAGTGGTCAGGGATGAAGCAATTCAGGATAGAGAAGGTGCCTTTGAGAGGCACAGGAATTCATGGCCGGGCAGTGAAAGGACAGCGCCGAAAGCCTGGACACTGCTGGCCCAGCACTGGCAGCTCCACGACAGCTGCTGGAGCGTGTTTGGCTGTGAAAAGTTCTGCAGAGTCCTGGGAAGGACAGAGCTGGGAGAGCACAAATAACAACATRGAATGGAGGGGTCAAAGCAGATTAGAAAAGGAGTCCTGATGTTCCGTGGAGAGAGGCAGGAGCAGCCTGACGGTGCAATCCTGCCTGTTCTCATCCAGCCTGGGGGAACTTCCAAAGCCCTGCACTGGTAATGGCTGGAAAGGGGAGAGGCCCTGGTGCTCCCAGCATTCCAAGACAGGAAGGCTATGGGCAAAGGCCAAATTTGGAGAAAGAATTTAAAATCTGGGTTTTTGGTAGGACCGAGCAGTCCTGGACAAATAAGAGTTTTAAAGGACTAAATAAGATTAGTCCACAGCGCAGCACAGGAGCAGAGGGACTGGGGGGAATAACCACACCAAGGCAGGTCAGCAARGTACATGTACCAGGTTTCCTGAGATCAGTTGGAGCCATAAAACTTCTCTTGTGGGCCCCAGAATGTGGAAAAGCTGTGGGAGCAGGCAGCAGCGGTTCTGTGTCATTGAGGTATTTTCTCTCTTTATTGTGAAGTTCCTCTCCCTGCAGAAGCAGCCGGAGAGCGGCAGGTGTGAGGGGGAAGGAGCCTAAACTGGGATCGTGGGGACAAATTAGCAGGTGCCTGCAGAATATCACTAACCCCATCTGCGATTCCGGAGCCTACGTAGGTGTTTTATTTTCTAACGGTGTTAGAAAGACTGTCAGAAAATAATTAGGCTCCGTCAACAGYTCCCCTATTCCCAGATAACTTACGACTTCCTGACTCATTAAARCTGCCGAGGTTGGCAGGAAACCTGTTTTATAGTAATTTCTGTTAGTGGTGTCCCTGGAGAAGAGACAACACGGTGCGGGTGACAGCAGCGTGACACCAGCGTGTGACACTGGCGTTGACTTCACCCTCGTGATGGAGGCACCGGGGCCGTCGGGGCTGTGCAGGGCGGTTACTGCTGGCAGGAGACACCGTCCCCCCCTCTGTCCCCATCCTGGTGACAGGGAACAGGACACTCRGCTGTGGGGCTGATGCTGGGCAAAGTCCAGCTTTAGGTACACAGCATTTGCTGGTGTCCTGAAACTTTGCCTGGTGCGTGAGGGTTTTAAAACAAAGAAGGGACACATAAATCCCATTAAAGGGGTCTTTCCATTTAATCCTGGAATAAAACCACCGTAGCATCCCTGTCCTRGAGTGGCAGCCATGATGTGCAAACACAAGCTGGCTGTGATAGGACTCTTCTGGGGCCCATTGGCCCCTGAATTTTACCATCTCTGTCTCAGACACCATGCAAATGCTCCTCGGTGCTCAAAGGAGCCAGACCTCGGTACTGACCCTGGAGCGCTTGCAAGCAGATTTAAAAATAGTTYAAAATCTTCTGTTTATTTTCTGATTTTTGGATCCAATTCCTCTAGATCAAAGATAAATAAAGTTTACAGTGAGACAGTGCTTGCCAAGAACAGAAAGCCCAACCTTCCTCCCCAAAACTTGCACTTCCCACTCAGTTCATGCCCTTCTTCCCTACACTATTWCAGCTGAAATCCAGGACCAAAGCAGATGTTCCCATTGCTTTTCCGTGCCCTTTTCCCAAGWAAGCTCCTTGCTGACCTCCTGCTCCTTCCTGTGATGCTCTGACCAGGTATTGGTTCCCTGAGGCTGCTGATGGTACAGCGAGATCCATAATTAGGCAAATTTTAAGAGCCTSATTCTGCTGACAGCCACAGGAGTGGGATGTTACATTCTTTTATAAGCAGACATGCAAATAAAAGACATATTCCRTGGCCTCCAAGTCATCTTTCCATTGAAAACAACTCTTCTACATGCTCTTCTCACAGAGGTGTGAGCATGGGAGTCCTGAGACCACAGGACAGTGGTGCCCTGTCACACACCATGTGGTTTCTTCCAGGGAAAACCCCTGCCCACAGCTGCTCTGCCACCTGCTCATGGCACTTGCTAAGAGGTGATTTGGATTATCAGGATGATGTAGGATGATACAGCATGGAGTATTGTGTGAAATCAGGGGCTGCTTGTGCAGTGCTTAGCCCCAGACTGYTGCTTCCCCAACACCCACAGAGACCATCGGGTCGCTCAGCCACACAGGCTGCTGACCATTCCTGGCACAGGCTCAGCACCACATTATGCCAAAGATTTTTCCTCTATCAACGGGAAGGCAAATCCCATGTCTACCATTGGACATTCTTTACCACCAATGCTGGATATTTGAGCCCTGTAACACCGTGGTTACACACCACAGGGTAACAGGGATGGAGTAACTAAACATCCTCTGCCTGTTGGAAGACAGGATCCTGCACCGGTTTGTTGTACACCTTTATTGAACACAGCAAACACACACAGCCTGGCACCTCCTGCTGGGAGACAATCTCCAGGTACAAGAAATGGCATTTTATGAGTGCTTCCATCACAGAACATGCCCCAACCTCCCCACCCCAGGAACACTCTCCGATCTCCTACCCCTCCCCCACAAACCAGTTAACAGTTACATTCTGCATCATCAAGGAATTTGCGGTGGTGGAGAGGCAGAAAAGGCCAGCACTGCACCCCTGGGCAACCCTACCACGCTCACATTAACTACAGGAGCTGCCTCTATGCTCGTGTTTCCAGTTCCTCACTCAACTCCTCCTATGCAGCACCTGAAGGAAGCAGAGCACAGCCCAGCTTGAATTCCACCCCCAGAGGTGTCTGTGGGGTGAATGCTAAGGCAGTGCCAGCATTGTGCGGGGCCCTGGCAGCAAACATGGGCTGTGCGGGTTCAGCACGAGGACAGAGCTTGGCAATTGCCTGGTTTAATCCTTAAAGAAAATGACTCAACAAGCTTTGTTAATACCTCCCTTGCTGCCTGAGCGGTTTCACACCTGTGGCACCCGTCCTTGAGCCAGCCAGAACAGAATGAGAAGAGGTGGGTTCACCACCACACCAGAGCACACCCGGGAAGCACCGGGATCACTACAACCTGCCTCTATCCCACATTCTGCCCCTTGTCATTAATGGAAAAATGAGAAGACTTCAATGTGGCTCCTGCAAATGCATCTCAAGCACCATGAGGTTCTTGAGGAGCTGGCAYRTATGCAGACAGGCGATGTGAGGTTSCACAAGGCATTGGACAAGGATCTTACCAGCTCCAAGAAGCCTTGCAACAAGACTGAGAGTCTCCCTAGGGCAATTAATCCCTTAAGAGGAAAAAAGGTTCCATAATATATGGCAATTGACAGGCAACTTCCTCAATAGCAGAGAGTCAAGAGCTGATGATGGCAAGAAGTTATTTAGAGCAGCCAAAATACAACAGGAAAATGGTATTTAAAAAAGTGAAAACCCAGGTAACAGTGCTTCCTATGGAGAAAACATAGGTGTGTTTCCCACATCACACCCAGCTCTGTTCCTCAGGCAAGCCCCTGGATGACCCCGGATCCAAACCACCTCACCTTTGTGGAGCCCTGCACTGCCCTGAACGACCCCAACTCAGCAGGGTGATACTTTGGCCAATGCATATCTTCCAGCTTCAAAACCTTCCCTGGTATAGAATCCACTCTAAACTTCCCCAAACTGAGTTCATGGTTCACAATTTTCATGTGAAGGCAGCCCGGGCGGTGCTCTTACTTCAAGTTCCCTGGCCTTTGTTTCTAAAAAGTAGAGTGTAATTCCACATGCAAGAACTTCTACATGACCTTCTGAAGAACATGGTAGTTTTGTGGAAGAGAGAAGAAACTCCCCAACCCRTGGGAGGTTTTCACAGCAGGGCTCTGGAGTATCACTCCCCTTTTTGCTGCGATCCCAGGGGACGATAAGTTGTGCTGCAGGTTTGGATTTAGAGCCAGTGTCAGAGGCACAGCCCCACTGAAGGGAAGGGAGCACTAGGACACCACTTCCCTTTATTCAGCAGATCCCAAAGCCCCAGCTCAGTGTGCTGGAAGAGCTGGAAGGGTTCCTGCCTCAGCACAGGAAGCAAACTGTGCACTGTCTGCGCTGCAAGGCTGACTGCACAACACACAAAAACAGGGGAAGAGGGAAATATCCTCCTCTATTCCCCGACAAAAACAGAAATGCATTTCTTTTCCCTTTTCRTTTTGGGAGAAGAGGCCAGATTTAATTGGTTCCCCCATCTGGTGCACATTCACAGTACATAAGAATGAGTTTTGCTTCCAATACATGTGTCAGATCACAACCTCAGGGACAAAGAAGAATCTGCATTTCCAGAAGCCACATGCCAGTTCCCACTGGCTCTGCCACATACAGCACAAAAACACCCAAACCAACCAGGATTCAATATAAATTATCACAGAATATACATTCCAAAGGGACAAGAACAAATATTACAAAATGAACAGAATCACTTTTAAAATCCATGTATTTGTTTAACCGTTAAAAACAGACAGGTACAGAAAGAGGTGGCCACGCTAACAATTCCCCGCTGCTCCAATTAGTGTTGCCTGCACGCCCTGGGAATGTTCCTGCAGAACCAAAGCTCCAGACATCGTTTCTGGCAAGGGCTGAAGAAAACTGGCAGATGATTCTMAGCTGTGTGAAGGGCTGAGGCAGAGCCACAGGCCTAGGGCAGCTCTTTCATGGTGTCTGGCTTAACGCAAAGGCATTGAGAGAAAAAGGTTGTCTGGGGGTTATGTCAGAGAGCAAGAGAGAGCGAGAGAGAGAGCATGAGGGACACCACACCAATGTTAGGGAATACCAGAAGTTCCTCCTTCCCTGCCACTGCAAGAGGGAAGTACAACAGGTCTGTGGGTCCCAGAGTTAGGACAGAGTTTGGAATTAGCTTGGTCCCATGGATATCAACATCACCTGACAGATTCAGAGCTAAAAGCAAGGCAGGAAGGTTAAGGGCAGCAGAACTCCACATGTTGCACACATACACTCTCTCTCCCTCTTTTCAGGCTGTCTGAGGCCCCAGCAAGGCCAGCTCAGGAGCTTTTCCCATCCACCATATAATAACGATACATTAAACCTAAGACCAGCACTCCGAAGATGGGGATCAGCCATGTTGACCAGAAACTATGGGGAGAGAAAAAGAAACAACAAACTAAAACATACACACTGCAGAAACCAGAAGAAAGCATCTAGTTAATAATCCATTCCTGATGTTCATCCCTTGTTACACATCTAGGGAACTCCTGGAGCTGTACCCCCAGGGTGACCCCCCAGCCATGGCCACACTGTCCCCGTGCACAGGCTYTGCCAGCCCCCACGAGAGGCCCAATTGTGGTCTCATGCTTTATAAAATAGCAGCTGGATGGCTGAAGTTTCCAGCTTGGCACATTCAGAGACCACTTGGAGGGGTTGTTGTTGGTTTGATTTTCCTTAAATAAGTCAGGCTGTAATTTGCGTTGTACAAACAACAGAGCTGACTCAAGGATGGCAACAGTTACAGCTGTGCCCCAGTAAATCTGCTCAGACTCCAGAGGCCACAGGCTCACCCTCCTGAGCAAAACCTTCTGCACCAGCTGCAGGAGACCAGGGCCCTRTGCTGGTTTTATTTTCAACGAGATGGTCACGGTAAAGTTCTACAAAAAGTCACCCATAGTTGTGTTGAGCCACCCCATGGCCAACAGCGACCACCCAAATAACCCCTGTGGTTACAGGGATGCAGCCACAGCCATTTAACACCAGCACATGGGGCAGAGAATTCCAAACACTGGGATGCTGGTTCTGMCCAGTGCAGAGCAGAGCTGGGCTCACATCCAACAAGAGACATGCACACTCTGGCAACTTGCTTTGGAGTATCTGCTTGCCAGAAGGACACTGCAGTACATCCCCGGGGATTTTCAGGCCCTTTGGAGTTAATATGCAGCTCTACAGAGTCCCAACCCCTCCATTTCTCACTCTTTTTTTCAGGAGATACTATACCTTGCTTGGCCTGAGGATGTCGTACTCGGATTCTGGAGGAGGAAAGAGGGAGTTAACAGGAGAACAAAGAAACATTAAACATGTGCTAGTAAGACAAGCCTGAACATGTGATTACAAAAAGGGAGGAAAAATAATGCTCCTTTTCCAAAAACCCCCTGGTGACAGGGTGGATGTTTTTGGGGATGTCTGCTGTCATCTTCACCTCCATGTTCTTTCCACCAATCCAATCTCGCCCACTCAGTCACCAATTCCATGCTGGAACTTGCACCCCTCTCAAAATAAAGCTTTGCTTTTTACAAGGTGGTTTGGGAGTGGTTTTGTGCTTCTTCTGTTTTTATTTGTACATTACTGATTCTCTTTCTTGCTGCCATCTTTAAATTACACTGGAACCTGCTTTTAAAAGATACTGCCCTTTGGAAAGAGCCCTCAGCTGTGCATAACATGCTGGACTTATTGCTTAGGAGAGAAAATACTTGCAAAAAAATTTAACTTGGATCCAAGGAAGCTACTCTGACCATCACTGATTTCTGAGCACATTTTCAGYATGTCATCCTGTTTATAAACTCGAGTTGAACCMAACAATAATTTTTAAGGTGAATACRTACATAATCACATAGCTCCACATTATAACCAAGCACAGGCCTTACCCAGCCYGAGTTATCCTTAATTTGACAGTTCTCTCCTGGATTCCTGCTGCTCTGCAAGTGGTCCTGCTCAGAGGAACATCTAAAAGCCTTGTTGAAGGCAGAGCTGTGCCCTGTCCAGGCCTCCCAGCCAGCTGYGAGGCACATGTTTACCTCCCAGCTGGGATTCTATTTATTGCTTTCTCCCTCTCCCCATCCTTCCCAAAGGCATTTTTGCAACACTCTGCCCTGTTCTAATCCAGGAGCACCTGARTGTTAAGCAACACCACTGATCCCCAAGGCAGTTAACAGAGAATTGCTGTTTGCCAGCCAGCCCCGCGGCAGCCGTGCCCATCTCCTGGCTCGAAGGGAACAACAAGGAAACCAGTTCCGTGGTCAGGACACAGCCAGAAATGCAAAAAAGTGGTCTGTGGCTCAAGGTGTGGAAACAACAYTGCTGCTGCCAGCGGAGAAAGGGCACAAAAACTCACTTCCAATTTCACACTGAGGTGCCTGCTGAGCTTCAGAACAAAAACAAAGGTAGAATTTGCTTGCAAAATTTATTCATGTGTAGTTTGTGTAAACATAAAGCCACAAGCTCCACAAGAAAAAAAAAGATGGGGAAAAAGAACCAAAAGACATATGACATTAAATAAAAGCAGAAAACTGGAATGTGAGYGCTTACCTTAGAACCTTCCTTTTTCCGATCATTCTGTCAGGGGAAAAAAAGAAGAAAAGAGGTAATTGCTGACTTCAAAGGAAGGCTGCAGTTTTTATGAGGGAATTGCTCTGCACACAGGTAATTGCCTGGGCTCCGTTTTTACAGGAGTCCTTCCTTTGGCACCCAAAGGCAGGCAGGAAGGTGGTGTTTGTGCCCCTGGGATCTCTCACCCTCCTGAGCTCAGAATTACAAGGCAAAGGTGGTTTATGGTTCCACCAGRTACAGAGGGAACTCATGAGTTCAGCTTAAGTGCCCCAATCTAAATTAKGTGAAAAATCTGTTCTGAATGGTGGAAGGAGTTTGGTTTCCCCAAGAGAAACACAGGGATTGCCTAAACCCTTGGTGTGTGTGTGTTTGAGGGTCACACAAAGGACTCACCGGGTGGAGCTCCCCAATGTAGTACTGCTTGAGCATTTCCCTGGCATCYGAGGAATGCCCCACATCTTCAAAGCTCTCCGTGGCATCTCTGCCAGCTTGTTCRAGCAACACTTCTTCTCCACCTGGGTGCTGGAAGAGAAGAGTCCAGATGAGCCAAGGGCTGGATGCAGAAAGGCACTGAGGATGTCATCAGCCTTCCTCCCACCCTGCACTGCTGGATGCCTCAACAACACCATCAATAAAATCTGCCAAAGCTTCAGTTGTCTAACATCTCCTCAGGAATTCACAGACAACAGTGGAGGGAAGGATATTCTACTTCTTCAGGCACTACAAAAATTATGTGTTTGCTGATGTGCAATAGTGAACTTGATCCCATTTGCCCCATCAGTGACATGGGGGAGGTAATCACGAAGTATCACAAAAATTATACTGTTTAATATCATATACTGATTTCAGAGATCCAGAGTTACAACAGCCAAAGCCCCAGGGAGCTCTGCAGTGCCACTGCCACTGCTGTGGGTGGCAGCTGGCCACGGCTGACTGTCAGATGGGATGAAGTGAACAAACCCAGGCTGTGGTTCTGTTTTCTGTGGTGGGCTGAGCTCTGTCCAGTGTCAATGCCACAATTCCAGGAACAGCCCAGCAATGGAAAGCACTAACCACAGCAAAGGCCAATCCCTTTCCAGCCTGAGTGTGAACTACTAGCTAATCCAGTTACACCAATAAAGTGCTCACACGTCTCAGGACACGCACAGGGACTAACCTAGTTTCCCAGGGCTTCAGGCAACCAGCCCCCAGTTGGAGAAGAGATTTTGGGTTACATTTCAGATCAAAGGACCAACACACCTGCTTCTCTCTGTCATATCCTTCTCCTTCCCACAGACACAGAGCAGTTGCCACCCCTCCCCCACTTCCTTCATTTTGTCTGCTTTTGCTGCCAAAAGTCTGAATATTCCCACCAGGCCATCCCACCTTGTACCAAACACATTCAGGATAGACACAAACTGGCCACGTTGTTTGCTCCGGTGGTGTGCTGCAGCCAATCCTGCAATTCTCATATCTCAGCTCTTTATTTGGAATAAATCCCTTTATTGTTCAGGTATGCCACTAAACCAATGTGGAGCCTTCTCAGGAGGCACAAAGGGCAAAGTGGAGGGACACGGTTTGTTAGCAGGCAGTTCTCAGGTTCTTACAGTAACATCCAGTTTCTCCACAGACAAGAGACAAGAGGAAAGATCAAGTTCAAGAGAGAAGGAGAACAGTAAAGTTCACTGCTCTTTGTATCTCTGACTGTGAAGCCTCTCTATGCACTTGCTAAATCCACCATTATTTATTCATGCACATCTGTCTTTYGCTGCAGTTTCCAAGCCTAAAAGCAAAAGACCTTCAAAATATTTTGGCATCTCCTATTTCTGAAGAGCTCCCTCCTCCAGACAGCACTGCTGCAGCCAGACAATTCCCACCTTGTCCTACCCCAGCAAACGTAAACCCAGACTATTTGTTCAGGAAGTCACTGACTCTGCCACAAAACTTCCCAAAGCTGCAGCTGCTGCAGGAAAACATGAAAACAGTATTGCAAACTGTGGGGGGGGGAAAAGTACTTCCAAGGGAAACAATGGCTGGAAAACAGTTTCTGACAAGAAACAGCAAAAGCAAAACAGGAGARAGCTGACAATAAAACTGGGACCTCTGTGTCACTCATCTTCAGGACACACAGTGAATAACTGAGCAAGAACTGCAGGCAGGCAGCAAAGGCCTCCGAGAGCACATCCCAAAATTCCTGCATAAAGAGAGAGCCTGGAGTCCACTCTCCACAAACTCCAAAAGCCTGCCTGCAAACATCTGGCTGGGAACTGCTGGTAGAGACCTGCTGCAGACACAAACAGCTCGGCAGCAACACTAATTAAGCTAAAGGACTAATTAGATCACTGTGTCGGGCAAGAGATAAGATCACCAGGTTGAGGTGGGACAAAACTTTCATTCCCAATGCCCAGAGTTAAAAAAATAAACCAGGAGAGGGAAGAGTATTCTTGTGCAATACTAATGTGCCAGCACCATACAAGCCAGAACCAAGGACGAGCAGCCACCTAAATAAATGATCCACAGATGGTTGTAAGTCATGGAACAGTTTTCAAAAAGCACCTCTGCAAAGCTGGAGCAAGTCAGCATGAAGAAACCCAGATGCCTGGTGCTCCTCCTTCTCTTGAAGAACACTACACCTGAAACCAACTGACCAATTTGTGTCAGTGGAGTCACAGTCGAGGCTCCTTGCACTTGGAAACTGGAAATGGATTCCTACTCACACTTATCACGGGGATCAGGCAGCAGTGTGTGCCGAGACACAGAGCTGGGGGAGCTGCTGTGTCTTGTGGGCTCAGATAACAGAAACAAGGACTTCCTGGAAAAACATCAATCTCCAGACTCCCCTAGTCATGTGTGAAAACAGAGATAAACTGTGTCTCTGCAGCATAACTGAAAAYAAGTCTGTTCCAGATTGTGTACAAGTTAAAAGCTCAGATTTTAAAGATGGGGTGGTGAAGTGTGAGCCTGACAGACCCAGGAGCACCTGCAGGATGTACAGCTGCCTCCCTCCACCCTTCACTCACACTGAACTCCCAGACCCTCCTRCTCCAGCCACATCCTACACATGCTTTTTTAGACCCTGTCCCCAGGAGTAATAACATGTATCCTGGTGTGGTCCAGTTACCCAGATTTCGGAGAAAATAAATCACCATAAGGCTCTCTCAGATTTCAAAATAATCCCAGTTAATTTGAGGCACTCACAGGCTCTCTGAAGCACAGGAGGCTGTACCTCCCAGAAATACCTGCAACACTTCAGTTGCTGTCTTTGAACATCTTCCAGATTTGGTTCATGTTCTTATAACTCAGTAAATTTTGCTATGTGATAGATGTTTTGTTACTCCTACTGCACAGCAGCTAATGTGAATTGGAACATTATGCTGGTCTACACTTGCAGCAGCACATGGATTTTGGGTTGTCTGACTTGCAGTGCCTAATTTGCAGGAATCATGAAGCCAAATTCAACCTTTCAGCAGTGACTTTTTCAGGATTGCACAATCCCACGCAGGTAACACRCTAGCAGGCTCAGCAATCCCAGTCAAACAATCCATGAGCAAAGGCCAGGAAAGGCACCCAGCATGACAGGACACCCYGAGTGCTGCAGCCCCAGCTCCTCAGACAACTGCAAATTTCAAATGACACRAGCACTCCTGGTTCCCATCAACTGCACCTCATTCCCTGCACTCCAGAGAGCAAAAGATATAAAGAGGATTTTTGCCAATAAATGAGGCCTTCCCCCGTGCCAGCAAGGGGTGTGCACAGCACAGTGTTGTGTCGGCCATGCTGACACAGTTCAACAGTGCCCTCATTCTTCTCCCTTGCCCTCGTCCAAGTAGGTCTTTTCATGTCAGAAAAACACAAATGGGAAAAGGGGCCTGGAAAGGACAGAATGAAAYATCATCTCAGGGTGAAACACCATCTCGAGGTGACAGTCAGGGCACTGCTAAACCAGGCTTGCTGAAGTGTTTTTCTGGGCTCACTTATAATTCCAGAGGTGTCTGAGGGAGCAGGTCACAGACTCCACCTTACAGAGAACACTGAGGTGAAGGCTTGGCCTCCCTGCAGTGTCCATGCTCTGAATCACAACACAGAGACAAGTGTAAGACAAGACTCACAGCTCCTGCAACTGCAGCCGTGATCTCCAGCTTATTCTGGCTCTTCCTAAACCCTACCCCAGCATTTCCTTATTCACAAACCAGCAGTAAACTGCTTTTCCAAGTTTTTGCTGGTTTTCCTCTGCATCTGCTAAACCTTCCCACCAACTTGTCCTGCTTCCACCTTGCACATCTCATCCCACTAAACTGCCCTGCGTGGAGCAAAGGGGGCTCAGGGGGGATTTGGGGCTCTGCACAACTCCCTGACAGGAGGGGGCAGTTGGGGGGATTTGGGATCTGCTCCCAGGGAACAGAAACAGGAGAGGGAACGGCCTCAGGCTGAGCTGGGGAGGCTCAGGGTGGACATCAGGAGAAATTTGTTCATGGAAATGRTGGTCAGGCCTTGGAAGGGGCTGCAGGGAGGTTTGGAGTTGCCATCCCTGGACGTGTCCAAGGAGTCACTGGATGTGGCACTGGGTGCTCTGGGCTGGGGACAAGCAGGGATTGGGCACAGGAGGGATTTTCCAACATGGACAATTCAGTGATTCTGTGATTTTCTGGTCCCAAAGAACAAACCAGATTGTGTCCAACTTTAGAAATGAAAGTTACTGAGAGATGCAGAGCAAGGCACAACCTCCAGCTGCCAGGTGATCATTGCCTCCTGCCTGACACATCTCCACCCTCGCCAGAGCAGCTCTGTCACTGCAGGCTGTGACTCCACAGCACACAGACCTCAACCCCACAGGCCTGGAAGGAAATCAGAGCTGAATTCAGAGCAGCAGAACCAACAAGCTGGAACACGTGCATTTCAATGAAGTGTCTTCTTTGGAGCTGGTTCAGCTCAACCTTTGTACGTTGCCCTGCAGATGCCACAATGTGTTTGCTGTTACTTTAAGCTGGGATAACCCCCTTTGAAAATGTCACAGAATCACAGAATCACAGAATATCCTGAGCTGCAAGGGACCCACAGGGATCATCCAATCAAACTCCTGGCCCAACACAGACACCCAACAATCCCACCCCATCCATTGTCCAAATGCTTCTGGAACACTGGCAGCCTTGGGGCCGGGACCATTCCTTGGGGCACATTTTCAGTGCCTGATCACCCTCTGGAGGAAGAATCTTTTCCAGATATCCAACCTAAACCTCCCCTGGCACAGCTTCATGCCATTCCCTCAGATGTTCCTATTTTGTTACTATTTATTCCCCCTCTATTTCCAGCTCTCAACACTYAGGACACCACTCTCAACCTTCTCGAAATCAGAAGTCAAAAGCAGTGAGTCTTGWAGGAATTTTTGTCCCCACATCCAAGGGAACTGGAGGTTTGGCAGGGGCTGCATTGCTTCCAAACCCCTGGTGCGTGGAACCCTCTGGGCAGGCAGCAGATTGGTGGTTGTTTTATCACTGTCAACTTCTCAGAGTTCTCGGGTGTCCCTGCAGACTTCACATTCAAACTACTGATGTTCCCCGATCCCGTTCACAAGTGACGTCCCGTGGCTGAAGGAAAGCTCTGCCTTCCGGTGACTTGCCTGAACAGATTTGTTGGGAAACCTCTGGAATTGCCTCAGAGGAGCAGCAGCACAACCCCTGCCCACGGCTGGCCACCGTGACCCGCCACCCACGCCGTCCCTTGGAGGGACAACCACGGGCACGGGGCCCCTCAGAGAGCACCGGGGAGCTGCTCGGGGACACCGGGACACACACACCGCCCCAAACCCCGGCTCGCCCCCTCCTCTTGCACCCCATCCCGGGATCTCTGTCTCCGGGGCCGTTCCCGCCCCTCTCGGCCCCACACGATCCCCGGGGCCTCTCCCCGCTCCCCTCAGCCCCTCGRCRGGCCGGGCCGGGCCGGGCCGCCCCCACTCCAGGCCTCACCTCCTCCAGGAACCGGGTGACATCGTAGACGCGGCCGTGGATCACCAGCCAGGCCTCRCGGTTGGAGTTGTGTGTCCCCACCTCCTCCAGGGTGAACACGGGCGGGGGCGCGGGCCCGTCCCCCGTCACCGCGGCCGCCGCGGCCTCCCTGCGCCGCCCGCCCTCCATGCTGCCTGCCACGGCTCCGCGGAACGCGCGATCTGGCCCGCGCCGGCCGCCGTAACGATGGCAACGCCCTGCGGGGCTCCAGTCCCAGCCGGGGGCCAATGGGGAGCGAGCCAGCGGGGGGCGCTGCCGGCGCAGCCAATGGGAGCGCACGGTGGCGAGCGCGGGCCAATGGGAGCGAAAGGCGGGAAACGGCGCGCGAGCGTCGCCTCAGAGGGACCGGGGAGAGGAGAATTCACCGGGACCGCCCCTCCCTCAGCCCCG